ATGCTCAATGTTTCCAGTTTTATATGATGCCATGGCTACCTCAGCCTGAACCTTCCATTTGTAAATAACTATCACCACGAATTCGTGTTATACACTATAGGAAACCATAATTAAAGAAGTTACCCAATCATACTGTAGCCCTTGATCGTTTTCCGTTATGTCGAACTCCTCCTCCATCACCCCTTGAATAGTTTTCGGTTTCAAACGAGTGGTGCGCCTCAGTTTTGACGAAGAGCGAGGTGATTCATCTGCTCGTTTTGTGTCCCTGACCAAGAAAATGTTAGAAGCTTATCTCAATGAAATGTCAACGGAATCGACAAATTCAGTATAAAAACATATCTAAGGAAAACTAACACAAACGCGCTAGTTCCCAGCGATGATGGTGGTCCAGTAGCAAAAACTCCACTCCATAAATCACTATGAGTGACTCTTGAAGGCTCTGATAAGTTCGATTTGAGCGTTTGTTCAAGAATGGAAGGACCAGCTGAAGGACCTTAACGAGATGCCTTAATCATCTTAAAACCATATTGAACGGTATGAAACACTACTGAATCGACACCGTGTCACCTCAAAACTACTACATCCGCATTGAAAATTTGAACTCGTCCACTGTGGGCCTTTTTGCCAAAATACATAATGGTTTGAGGATATAGCACTCCTTTCATAAACTGAGCAAGATAAGAGTTCAAAACAGAATTCAGGCCAAAAACAAATAATCTCAAGCCTTCCAAGAGCCATTAACCAAAACAATCAAAAAACAGTGCCCTCAAAATACGATGCCCTTTAATCTTCAAAATCCGGTTATCCCTCTTGACGAAGCTGGTAGCTGACTTGGACGGGAAGGGTGGATTGAGGTCCTAACATTTTGCAGCAATTACTTCTGAAGAAGTAAAGAGGATTCGGATAGAATAATCTGACCATGAGCACACATTTTATGGTACTACGAGTTGCTTGTTAGTTTCTGAGCGCGACGAAATCTACAAGCTCAAATCTACAAATCTCAAGCGTTAATTTTGAAAAATGTCCCAATGTCATTTCGAACATGACGTGTTGAACCGCTCTGAACAATGTTCTCAGAAAACTTCACACCTGTTTGACCCGAGTTGGAAGAATACGTTGAATTCCAAGTATTGTTCGGTGCAGTGCTGTAGCTGGGGCCAGGGATTGAAGAACACGCATTTGTCGAGTGTCCTGACGTCATGTCTTGACCATAGCTTGCCGAGCAAGGATACCCAGGTCCTTCATGTGACTGCCACGATGATGCACTTGTCATGTTATGAGCTTGGTCTCGCTCGGAATACGACGGAATTCTATCGCTAGCTTGATCGTTTGCCTAAAATGTTCACGGTAAAACACCTTACCTATTAGCTTTAAATTGATTCTCTTCCTGAACTTTACATTTTTTATTAGAGGGAGAAGTAGGGTAGAGTCTTTACGTCCAGTATCCACTATACCGCAAACGTTCTCAGTTTCGCCAAACTTCAAAGGCAAACTTCGGAATTTCATCATGAAATATGAGGAAATATTGAAATGGAACGCAAAAGCCGCCAGAGCATGCAGCAACACGGTGGCAATATGTAACTATGCTGAGGTGTTAATGCTTAATAGCATGCCATACATGCAATGCCCATACCATATGCCCAGCCCTCCATCATACACTTCGCCCCCAGATAAATGCTTCTTCCCCTCGCTGCTACTGAGGAGGGGCTTTATTCCCCTCCTTACGGCTTCTTCCAATTTTTCCATTATCTACGTTAAATATCCACTGTCTTTTACAAGCACAATAACACATCAAATCGATTACAGATTTTGCCTTTGAAATTAGGCGCAGAGCACACTATAGCATGTATCGTACCATCCGGTTCCAGACCGAATGTAGACTATCAAAAATGCTTAAATAAGCCGCAACGATTCTAAAAAAAATGTGTAAAAGCGCCCACTAATGTGGCTTGAGGCGCAGAGCATACCGCAGCACATATCATACCATATCGTTTCCCAACCGAATGTAGCTATCAAAAATTGCTTAAAACAGCGCGATTCTAAAAAATGTGAAAAGGCGCCCACTAATGGCTGACATTGCATTTCCCTTTTTGTATATGTCACTGGCTTTGTTGTGTTCGCTTTCGTGACCAATAATAAATCAGTACTCCTGTTACCCAGCGACTCACGATCTTTACTGCAGTAAAGCAGAACAACGGAATTCGAGAAATAGAAAATCTACCTCCTTTTGTTGTGCTGTCCTCCTCCGCTCTTCACGCTTCCTTTCAAGTGTTTTTGCAAGAATATCGGGGTGATTCCATATCTGGAAATTCAACTATCATTAGTTTGGAGTTCGAAGTAACAACGAAAAAGTCAAAAGACAGAGTGTTTACCTTTGAACAAGCAGCGAAAGCCTTAAGAGGATTAAAAACAGAAGTATTTCCAGAGCTGATTTCCGAATTTGCGTACATAACAAAATTTCTGAAACAATTCACAACATTTTGGCTAGAAACATTTTGAACCTAATATTGAAGGAAGCCAAAACTTGATAATTACCTGTACAACGCGTGTTGCAGAGGACTCTTTCGGAGGAGGAGCACAAACTCTTTACTTTCTGGGCAGAATAGCCTTGAGCAGGTGGTGAGTTCGTCTATAATATCACATTTCGGCAAACCAAAGAAATACCTAACACCATAAAAACACAATAACTGAACAAATTGTCGTATACCTTTGAATGAAACCTTTCAACATGCTGTTGAGAACGTGAATTCGTTGACGGGCAATCTTAATGTCTCCTGAAACAAAGAAAAACGACTACTGTATCCAGATGAAATGCAAAGATAAGTATTGGTAGAAACGTTTTTTGAAGCTGAACTGCATTTATAAAGAACACTAAATATCAACAACAATGCTAAACGGTGTCTCGAGTTGGACAAACACCGCAAGATACGAAGGCATTTCATAGTAAAAACTAACAAAATTCGTTCATTGGTAATATCAAATGTTAAACGGAAAACAAACTTGCTGTCGAGTCGATGCATTGGCCGTTCTTAATTGGCTTCTCGAACTGTATCGAGAACGTCTTCCTCGAACCCAAAAAATCCGGTCTTACAAAGTCCACCATACAGTAATACTCCATGAGATTATTTTGCAGTGGGTATCCTGTCAATACGATCCGCCGCCTAAACTTGTGCAAATTCAATCGGCATGATGTTAGACTTCTCATTCATGTTGATGGAAACGTACCTCGTCTTGATAGCTCCTAAAGCAGAGGCGATGTCGGTATTGAGGTTCTTGATTTTGTGTCCTTCATCACACACAACTAGATCAGCTCCTGGGTCAATGAGGGCACCACGTATGACTATAAAAGCAACTATATGTTGACACTTTGATTCTATACGACGAACATCGAGCTTACTGTCATTGGCTTCCTTTTTCACTCGACCATCCGCTGTGAACCCCTGATCGAAATCGTCAGGTTTTATTGGTCGCTCGGGCTGAGGAGGCTGCAAATGACCGAACGAGGGAAAAGAAAAGCACACCAATCAAAAACCATTGAACTCCTATGCCATAATGTAATGAAAACAAGCTTGAGCCACTATATGACTGAGACGCCTTAAAAATTATTGAGGCGTTCTAATAATAATGTTCTCACTTCTCTACTTCGAAAAAAAAACATGCTAAGAATACGAGGGAAATTTCTACAAGAATGAAAAAGAACTGTTGATAAAAGTAGTAAATAACAATAAGACACAGCAACAAAGTTAAGAAAAAAATAACCAAATCGCAACAAGTAACTCACAAATAAGGAGTTGTTCTTCGGCTTCGCTGGTTTCCTCGGTTGTGTAGACCGAATGAGTAGGCGAAACATTTCATAACCAATCAGTAATACGCCTCCTTTACGCGACCACTCTTCTGAAAACACCACTGACAATGCCAATTCCATCATTTATGAAGACGCTGGTTACAGTAATGAAGAAATTTTTGCAACACTCAAAAGCACATGCTCTATCCCTAGAGAATTCGGGGGATATAATTTGTGCTGCAATTTCAACGTCCTACTGTAAAGCAACCTTAGCTCACCAATTAGATTCACACGCTGATCGAATGTCTTCACAGAATCACCCAGAAGAAACACTTCAAACTGACGACAAAGCTCCCCCTTTTCCGAATATCTGGAAATGAACAAAGTTGATGTATTTTTCAAAAGGTGGCTCAATAGCTTAGAAATCACCTTGGTATCCATTTTTCGAATTCGTTATACCAGTTTTGTATAGTATTAATGGGAACGATAACAAGAACTTTCTTGGCCTCAGTTACGCGTAAGAATACTTCAATAAAGGTTATAACCTGAAATTGAATAAACCGACTGGACAAAGGTCCTATAATTAGGCTCACAAACTTACAAATTGATTTATCCATCGACTTCTTAATCACGCACACGATGGATAAATTAAATCATGAAAAGCATTTTGATCGCAAAACACTTCAAATTTATCATACGGAACTATTAAGATCAATCATCGCCACTGAAGATGAAAGCGCTAGTTTTCGAAGTGTGCGTGCCACGAAATATAGGTACCGGTGTAAAGCGTCGAGCTTAAGTTTGGAATAGTTAGGGCATAGATGGACGGCTGGCGATGCACTAAAGTGGGTACTGAAGGCCAAAACTACTTCGATTTCTTAAACACCCCGAAAACCGCAAAAAGGGAGTGCATACAGGCAAGCGAGAAGACCTGCTAGCTAAACGCTCATGGCGGGCAGAGCAAGCACTTGTTATGCCTGTTCAACATCGTTGGATTTCCAAGCCTAGCGTGTAGAGATGGAATTGTGACACATACACATATATAGCTACCTGAATAGTTTTTCCTAGACCCATGCTGTGAGCCAGAATGCATCCAAATCCAGGTGATGACTTGAATTCACTCAGTGATTCCACGATGTTGTCATATCTGCAAACACGGTGGAATATCCAAAAATTTGCAATAGTTACTGACTCAACTTACAAGAACCGAACTCCTCCTAATTGATGTGGCTGAAGAATATGTGTAAGGTAAGGAGACACATGGACATCAGGATCTTCGGGACCATGTCCTTAAATAAAAGAAACTTTTGCACAGACTAACCCCCATTCATATATCGCGCTCATCAAGGCATAACATACCAGCTTGACTAGCAAACGCCCAGTCTGCGTGAGCTCGATCTTCTCCAACTCATGAGAATTTCTGCGCCTCCTCATCCGCTCCTTCTCCATTTTGTGTTGCTTTTCCATCTTTTCGTGATCAGCCTAAGTTCGAGCTTATTTGTTCAGCAATAGGTCGGAATTGAATAATTTATTTGAGAAATACCCTGTCTTTATCCGAGTACATCCATCTTGAACGCTTTCCTGGAACAACTAGCATTGGTGCTATGGAAAAATGAAATTTACGCGAAACTATACCATAGTCAAAAACCGGACGGTAAAGGTGGCACAACCCGGTAAGGTCTGAAAGAACTGCTTTCTCGTCCATCGTACTTTTCATCTTCATCACCACTTGAAAGCTCGATTACCTGATAGAAGCAAGATGACTACTTATGAGACTTCATAAATACACAACCAATTGATGTTCTCGAAAAACTTAAATTCTGCGCCTCATTGTGCTTATAACAACAGTCAACACAGTCTTGTAAAATCCCGGGTAAAAACTCCATATCGTCATACGCACTTCGGAGCGGATAGAAATCCGCACCGCTGAGCTCTACGCAATGGTTACCTGCTTCGACGTTTTGGCTAGTTCCGTTGTTTAATTTTCATCACTTTTAAGTTGTTTTTTTCTCAATTGAACCAACTATACTGGATGGACTAAGCCATGCCCACAAATAACAAAGTAGCTTGAAAGCGGAGAAATTGCGAGTATACTTGAAGTAAATGATGTACTGAACGTTTTCCTAATACGGAAACTAAAGAGAGGCGAGCTGGAATACCAACGTGCATTTGTTTCCCTCATCTTCCACCCAGTCAAAGTCGGCAGCGCCAACACAGCGTGCAGCGAGCATAATCGTGAGCCTTCGCTGCGACGCGCGGTATAGAACTTGGCATCATCTGTACTTGAACTCATTCTATGGCGCAAGTATTTAGGCAATTTATACGTCACAAAGTGTTAATCTTACCTCAGGTTCAGCCTTAGGGGCGTTCCTGCTTAGCGGAGGAATGTTTTTCTTTGAATCGAGGCCAGGGTCAGAGTCATCTCCAATCTGCAAAGGGTAGAAATCATCAAGAAAACTCAACTGAAGAACTACAACAATGTAGAAAAACATAGTTTTGCAAGAAATCTCGTGAGAACGGATAATTGCTTTACCAGGCATATGACTTCAGGATCGAAAGCGGTCAAGGGACATGGAAGCCAGGCAGTCACACGGATTCGGCATCATCGCAGCACCTTAAGAACCGGTTCTTTTGTCGGTTTTATTGGTAAAAACAAAGCAAAAACAGTTACGCACCAGAACGGGAAAGTTACGCTGCTCAAGTATGACCAGTTTTCACCCAGGGACTGCTTCTGACGCTCCAACCGTTCCAACCGCTCTTTCTCCTTTCGTTGTGCATCAAGAGCTGGCTGGCTAAGCAGCAAGGAATCGTCGAAATTGGTTCTGGCAAACATCGCTCATTTATTGACACTTATTGCTTTTCGAGTCAATGAAAATGAATTGAAACATCGACAATCAAAAATCCCTACTATATATAAACGCTAAATGTGTGTGTGTGTGTGTGTGTGTGTGTGTGTGTGTGTGTGTGTGTGTGTGTGTGTGTGTGTGTGTGTGTGTGTGTGTGTGTGTGTGTGTGTGTGTGTGTGTGTGTGTGTGTGTGTGTGTGTCACGAAATTCATAGCTCGCTTCCCAGCAACGATAGAGGCTGTATTTTGAATATGATATAGGGGTGGGAGGGAACATACTGGTGGGGGTCAGAAAGTGATAACGACTGATAAGATCTGATAAGAGGCGCTGAAACGCAAATTTCACGAAATTCATAGCGCGCGTCCCAGCAGCAGTGGGGCGTTGGTTCCAAGAAGTGATGTACAGGGTGGGACGGGAACACGTTCGGTGGGGTACAGGAAGTGATAAGGGCCGATAAGGTTGATAAGAGGCGCTGAAACGCAAATTTCACGAAATTCATAGCGCGCGTCCCAGCAGCAGTGGGGCGTTGGTTCCAAGAAGTGATGTACAGGGTGGGACGGGAACACGTTCGGTGGGGTACAGGAAGTGATAAGGGCCGATAATTCCCATATTCGGAACATAGAGACCATTTAGAACCATAATCTAGATAACGCATTTCACTTCAGTATCATCTCATTACGTTGTTGTCATCAACATAAAATACCTTCCACCGCTACAGTCCCAAAATCCCTAAGAATGTATGATGGATGTTTAGCGATATACGATAATGGGTATTTCTATTGCAAAATCATTGGCATCAATATTATTCGACCGCTAAATCATCCTGACATCCAATGCATGGTGGTTGTTTACAGACACCACTTTAGCTCCGCAGTCCACCGCGCGTATCAGACGATTGGCTTGAAAATGGGCATTCTATGGAAGGCCAGCTAACGCATTCCACGAAGCAAAATTGCATTTGCTTAGCGGCGAAACATAACGCTCCGCCGGCTTTTCTGGAGAAAAACAGAAACGCAGTAAAAGACTAAGGTTGAAGGGGTCATAGGAAAAGTTCATAATGCTGGATCTGTTGTGACATTTCTTCAAACAAGTTTTTAATCTTTTACGGCGCAATAAGGCTCGGGCGGGGGGGGGGGGGGCACTCTGAGAAAAGTCATCTAGGACTAAGCCTAAACAGCAGGACGAACTCCGGAGAATACGAAAATTGCTTCCGTACACCGGAGTTCCTCTCCTCTTCAAAAGCTTAGTCCTAAAACGGAGCGTTTCCGTGATTTTGACGCGATGTTGCGAGGTGCCCCCCGAGCCACATTGCGTCCTCTTTTACATAAACAATTGTACTAACCTCGGCAGTTCGTAATGGTCAACGAATATGTCATGATGATTAATGGGTATTAATGATAACAATTTCTGGTGCAATACAAGTCGGATGGGCACGCGGCACTTTCTGAATAGAAATGATGTAGGTTGGGGGGGGGGGGGGGGGGGACTGCTGCCCGCTACTATACTGTCACGAGAATCGGGGAATTCGTGAGCCAGGGGGAGTGTAGCCAATCTAGGGGTTGGGGGTGAGGGCAGTCACTTGACATGCGTGAAAAGCTGGGCGTGCCCACCCCACTTGTATAGAGCCCTATTTCTAAAAGGTGCGTTGAACGCTCGCATCAGCTCTGATCAATGGTGAAGCTGAATACTCAAGGAGTTACAGGATACATGAACTTACTGGATATGCTTCCTTTTCTGGGCTTTCGTTGCAGTAGGAATTTTCACATTAAGCAACTCCGTTGGTTTCTCTGAAGAGTTTTCACCCATCGCGGATATTGCGGCGTCAGAGTTGGTGCTATTCACCCGGCCTCTAGCTTCGACTTCTGGAAAAAAAGGTGTTTATCAACATTACCGATCATATGATAGCACAATTTCAAAAGCCTCACCATCCATTTTCTCATCGCTAATGATCTGACTGTTTTCTGTTGTTGACGAGATTCCACGATTTAAGCTGATTGATAACTTCAGAGATCCACCCGCTGACATCCTCACCAACACAGATTTACCATTCACAAGAGCACCATCAACAAGCACTGTGGTATTAAGCTGATTTCTCAAAAAAAGCAAATAATGCTACACGGAGCTTCAAATGACGCAAAAACAACGAGCTTTGCGTCCATTGGCGTGTTGTAGCGCGCAATACCCCACGGACCAAGGTTGGTTGCGGCTTGCGCGGAGAGAACATCGAGCTCATGTCGTTAGGGGGTAGTAGGTTAAAGTGAGTGAGCCACATACAGTATTTGGGACTGAGCCTTCAAGGAGGGAGGGTGCTTGGGGTGGATGTGAGCAGTTTTTGTTCTCCCGGCGCTTCTCCCCTCTTCAGGGATTGGTCCTAGTGGGTTTGAATGCCTTATTTTGAATGTCACGCATGAGCGCCCAGATCTGTACCTAGCAGGACCAAGTGTGAAAGTGCGAGCATTTCTTAACGCGACCTCCCCCCCAACTCGCTTCCATTCCTGTCCTGCTTCACCTACTCCTTATATTGAGCTACCCAAATACTCCCAAAGCGGATGAGTAAACCATACACCGTTATGAAAAATCTTGAGTTTCTGAAGACATTCGTCTTCTCCCCCTTCTTTGAAAAGTCACTTTTCAATGCCTACTTCACTTGGGACTGCTTCCGTCAGAGAGAGAGAGAGCCGAATCCAACTTCCAATCGAGGATTCTCCTGCTTTCGATGCCTAGGTAGAAGGGGAACAGCAAGATAAAAGACTCAAGCTCTCAACAAAATACTAGCTTCATTTATTCAATGCGCGACATACAAATTCAAAAGAAAAATCATTGAGGAGGTTCGTTCCCATAAGTGCTTTGCCCCGCTAACAATGACTTCTGAAAGGATAGAGCAATGGTAGATCAAAATATTTTTTCTTTTCTGCTT